TTACCTTTGGTCTTGCTCGCATTTGGATGGAGGCCAGGGTTTCACGCGTGAGGTCCGTAGTTGTTGAACGTCTTGTCACGGTAGTCGAAGGGGGTTGCATCTGTGACTGAGAAGAAGACTTAGATGTGCCGGAAGACGTATGCTAATCCAACGCAGTAGGATGAGTGATTTCGAAGGAAATAGATTTTCAGACCAGGCAGCATACCTGTCTTGAGTGATGCGAGTGCTTAGCCGCTCTTTGAATAGAAATATCGTCGGCGACACGACTATTCTCAAGTGATGATGCTGACTGTATACTACATCTTGGTTTCTTCATGGCAGCCGTCTGTGAAAAGAGTGTCAAGTCAATTAATTCTAGAATATGGGCCCGAACGCACCTCGCGAAATGAGAATATGACTTCGAGCGCCTCCTGGCCGGTCCCTTGTTTCACCAGGGTTCCGACGACAGGTGTTGGATCGCTGTCATCGGCAGCTAACGCCCATGACATTAATCCCAGACCCACTGCCACTCCTGTTGGTTGTTGGGATGATGCTCGAGTTTCAGTTGGCTGTTCGTCTCCATCTGCGTACAAAATATGGACGGGCGCAGGTGCAGAGCTTGATTCCAAGGGATCAAGAACGTAAAGAGAGAAGTCGCGAGAATTGTCCTGGGTTAACTCTGGGCTCGACCGGCATACCGTTTCAAGACAAGTCTTGAGTGATACGCTTGCGTAGGTGGGTTGCCCAGTAGGTCCATTCGATCCGCATTCGTTGGTAAGGTCTTCGATTGGCGATACAACGACAGAGACGGCTTTAAGGGAACGTGCAAGGATGTACTGAGGTGAAGCGTTGATAGTGTATAGAACACGCAGCAAAACCTGCTTTTCGAGCATTTGGGAAAAGGAAAAAAGGGTATCCAAGCAGGCCAGACGGTTGAAAACTAGTGATCTGTCGTGACCATGTACTCTCAACAACTCGGAGAAGGCGTTCCTGTTGAATTCTCGCTCGTCACCCAAACATTCACGGCTGACAAAGCATTATGTCCATCGACGCGTCTCGTCACCGCGTTACTTTTCGTGTTGTTTCTGTCACGCAACATGATAGAGATGATGATGTCCAAAAGGAAACAGTACATAGAAAAACAAGCAAAACACATCGCACATCAATCATCATGAGACATAGATTAGCTACGTCAAGCGTCATCGAAATTCAAGGTTGATAGGAATAGAGGCCCTTCGTTCTGCCGCGTTTGGAAGTCTAACAAGCGATTGAGGTTTGGTTACAGGTCTACTGTGCGCGAGCTGCATCTCAGGCGGTAGGTTGCCTCGTATATCTGAGTTCGTTGACTCAATGTCTACAGGGCACTTGCTCATATGGGACGTGCAGCCTGGAAGACAAAGCGTTGGTGTAGCTTCCTCGCGTGCAGGCCGAGGAGTGAAGTAGCATGTTGCAGTGAATCGATGGGCAAGGCAAGGAAAGGCGAAAGCGAAGACTATGGGTATAGGAAAGGGCGAGGGAGATGAGTCAATGTCGCGGAGCCAGATATCTCTATCAAAGGCAGGCCCTGTCAATGTAGCAACTAACAAGAGTGTCGCGGTGTAGACCAAGTCTGTGGATGGTGTAATCCTCTGCTAATCATATATGTGGAAGGGGGAAAAACATACGGATGATTGCACCAGATATAGCAAATCCTTGCAAGACCATAAAGAACAAAAGGTAGTCTCCCTGCCTTTGCGGTATAGTGGAAATCACAAGAGCAACAACTTGTCAACTCGTTATTCATAACATCTCGCTGAGCACGAGCAAGTTCCTTACTTAAATGGAAAGGGAACAGAACAAAGAGGCTGATGCATTCTGACGCCACGGACTGGAAAGAACCGAATATAGGTTTCCGGATTGCTCTGACCACATGTTAAAGTGGATGAATAAGGTGGCGAAGAGTTTTCACTCACGACCAAACAGCCCGAATGACACTCAACACTTCCACTGTCACTAACAGCCAAACGAAACCTCGGCGAGTAAAAACTCGTGCTATATAGATACTCAAAGCAATCGATGCACCCGCTGTAAAAGCAAGTATACCTAGATAGCTGATCTCATACTCAGCGATTGATCTGAAGATTGGGAAACTCACTACAGAGTATCTGCCTGAATGTTTGGAATCGTAGCGCCATGAACAATGTTGTTAAATTGCGCCAGTGATGGGTGCCAGTTTCTTTTGAGATTCAAGGTTCAGGGATTTGGATACAGCATGAGCTTGAGGCTATTTCCTCGCGGCTGACTAGGCTCGGACAGCCTCTCTGATCAGTATGAGTATAAAGGTGATCGAGCCTGCTGCGCGTTGAGCATGTAATAATAATGCAGAGAATGGTGGACGCTGGAATAGCATGAGTAGGACGTGGGGGGTGTGCAGCTCCAGATTAGAGCTCTGTCATGTCCATTAACGATTGATTCCTGGAGCCATTGACGATCGATTGAGGTAAGAGGGATAGAAGCATTTCAAGAGCCAGAAGGAGAAGCAACATGCTGACGGAGTTACGTGTGTACGTGAAGAAGGTCAAGCGACCATTGACGCGTTTTTAGCCTCGAGACGGCGAGGTACAGCCAAACACGACTGGGGATTTGAAACGGTGTCATTTGCAATCCTTACCTGATCTCCGGGCGCTAATGCTCTGCAATTGACATTCATTGGTATCACGGAAGTGATTCGAAAAGCTACCTCGCGTGCACGTCCGCTGATACATACGAAGAGGCTTATGTAGGGTGCGGGATGTCAAGTGTGAAGATGGCGAAGCATGAAGGCATTAAGGCTCACTATCTCGTATCACAATATCCACAGCTGCGCCCCATATAATCTCTAGGCGGGTGGGCAGCCATGATCCTTGAAAGCTGCCAAGTGCTGAGTACTGGGGCTCATTCGATGTTATGCCTGGAATCTTGCTGGAATCGTTACTCTCGGTGACTGTAAGCGGAACCAGGCCTGATGAGGACTGGCATCGATTACATAATGAGAGAAATTATGATCGGGGGTTGTGTCTACTTTAGCCATTACTTTAGCAGAGCTCGAGCAAGCCTTCGAAACTGCTCTACAAATGGAACTCTCCTACCAGACAACGGTTCTGGGAAAGCGCAAGGCTTCCAGACACCAAGAAAACCTTGTGCTGCATCTTACCACACCGACCACCTCTCAGGATGAGCATTCCGACATGGAGCCCTCAGGATCCAAACCTTCCACATCGAAAGGACCCCCTGTTATTATCAATGGACTACTGGTGTACGACACGAAACGTCGTTATTGTTGTACCTACCAAGGCTGCGAAAAAGCATACATCAAGCCTTCACGATTAGAAGAACACGAGCGATCGCACACAGGCCAGGTGAGTCTTTCAAACAAAAACTGTATATGCCGAGTCCTCTTATAGCATTTCCATCAGCGACCGTTCGTATGCGACAATTGCAACAAATCCTACCTTCGAGAGACCCACCTTCACGCACATGCTCGCTCACATCAACCTGAGGCCATGAGGCCATTCAAATGCGAGAGGGTTGACTGCGAAAAGCGTTTTTGGACCTCGCAACACCTGAAGGTGCACCATTCTTGGCATGACGGAATAAAACCATACAAGGTGAGACAGACCATGGTCGTGGCTTCTGTCTCTAACCAAAAATCCTGTCACCCGCTGCATTTCAGTGTACCAAAACAGGTTGCAATGATGCGTTCGCTAAACATCACCAACTCCGAGCACATATATGTGCAGCACACGCACCTCCTGGTACCAAACCTTTTATATGCGAACAGGTCGGTTGCACAAAGTCTTTTGACACCAACCAACATCTGAAAACACACCAAAGAACACACAACAGTGCGTAGGAACAGCGTGGAATATGATGGAGATATGCTGATAGCATGTTCAGGCAACCGTTATACTTGTGTCCATCTGGACTGCCTTGCCAGCGCAAATGGTGTTCCCGCTTTTTTCCATACATGGTCGGCGCTCCAATCTCATATCAGAACCGCCCATCCTCCTGCTTGTTTTCATCAACTTTGCATTGGCCGAACTTTCACGACCCAGGCAAACCTCAGAGCCCATATGAAATTGCATGAACAACATGAGGTTGAAGCGACGCTCGAAGTCGCTGCTGATCCTGATCCTGACGACGAAGAACCTTCCAGAAAGAGGAGAAGAGGCGGGGACATCGGCAGAGACTGGGAATGCAAAGTGGCTGGCTGTGAGAAAGATTTCAAATCAGTAAGCTACTCCAAAATCCACTTGTGTTATTTTTGCTCACCGGTCACTCTCTAGAAAAAAGCATTGGCCACCCATACTAATGTCACTCACCTCGGAATGCGCGATTTCATCTGTCAGCATATAGATTGTGGTCGTACCTTTGGGTACAAACATTTACTACAACGACATTTGGCCAAGTATCATGCGCCTGAACTTTCTGGATCCGAGTCTTCCGATGACTCGTCTTCGTCAGAGGAGGCCCACGATAGCCGGATACCTGTTTCCAGCATAGACGCAATCACAGGGCAAGCATATGCAGAACGCGCTGACAATATCTTAAAAAGCGCTAAAGGGCTCTGCTGTCCTTTCCCCCATCTGCAGGCCCTGCAGGGTGAACAACCTCCGGACGATTCAATAAACTCCCCAAATACCGGCGCTACTCAGACATGCACTTACGTCTTCAGTCGTGCATATGATCTGAGGCGCCATCTTGCCAGTTTTCATGATGTTGTAGTGCGTAAAATCAGTGTAGACGAATGGGTCAGTCGGCAAAAGCGGATCATGAGGCTGTAGACGCTCCTCATTATTGTTCTTCAATGATACCACAGATATTCATAGTATCAGCCGCCATTAGAGCTTATAGAATTAATGATACAAGACGGCATTGCTAATATTTTGTAAGTATATGTCTTGTCCCTCACAACAAGCGCGCATCCACGATTCAGTAAAACCCTGCTTGCCAAGCCGTTGTCACCGAAAGCACAATACTGCACGGCTCAAGCGATGAATCAAGGTGCTATAGTGTAGTGGTTATCACTCGGGATTTTGAAGTGCTGTACTGCACGGAACTTTCCCGTAACCCCAGTTCGAACCTGGGTAGCACCTCTTTTTTCACATGTTTTTGTGACCATGCCCAATGTGCTCGGAGAGTACGACTAGTTATCCATCTATAGGGTGCGCAATTTTAGACCAATACCGGAATTGTCTAGCAATGTCTTCTAAAGAAATATACAAGAGTATTTTACGATCAGCTTTGCTTCTACTCCAAGCTCCCGACTTGCGCCACAGCTATTTTACCTCTCAATTTGAGCTCAGCCTGCGTCCGCTCTACCTCATCCTGCACGCGCTCGATTGACTTGAAATATTTGACCGTCTTCACGTGTAGCTCTGGCCATACTGTCAAGAACAAGCAGCTCTTTCGAACCAAATAATACCCACCTGATGTTGCGTCTTCGTCGACGACTATAAGCGCCCATGGATGTAGTTGTAGAGCAGACAAAGTCCACTGGGAATCAAAGTCAACGACTCAATTGTTAGCTATGGTAAGACAATTCTGCTCACCAGGTGGTTTACACCCTCCTCTGGTAGAAGGCATGAGGTAGTTTCAAGGGTGCTCGATGATCAATAGCTCACCGATGGCTTTACTGAGAGCCAGTGCCTTGCGGAGCGACGTGACAACAACCACAACCTCTCGACTGTCTAGAACAGTCGCGACACCGACGGTAAGAGCCATACGTGGAACGGCACCGACATCATTGTTGAAGAATCGGGCGTTCGCAAGGATCGTGTCATAAGCAAGTGTCTTGATCCTTGTCCTTGATGACAGCGAGGAGCCTGCAACCAAAGGTGTTTAGGACTCAGCGCTATCTTTTGCGTTTGAATTCACAAACCAGGTTCCTAAGAAACTGGATGTCTCAATGCAGATTTCGAGAAAGAGATGCAAGTCATTCACATTGAATGCAATATGACCATCTTCACCAATTCCACCTAGAAACAGTTCGATGCCGCCATATTCCTTGATACGCTTTTCGTACGCGTTACATTCGGCGACTAGGTCTTCAGCGTTTCCATCCAGAATGTGGACTTGGGAAGGGGGAATATCGACTACAATTAGAAGAGGGCTTCAGTAATGCGTAGAAATACTGAGACAATGGACCCACTGTGGGAGAAGAATTCGCGAAACATAAAGGTATGATAAGACTCAGAGTGATCTCGGGGAAGTCCCACATATTCATCCATATTGAAGGTTACAACATTCTTGAAACTGAGCACATTAAGCAGGACGTTAACACCAATATAGGCAACATCCACTCACGACAGCTTCTTCTCCTTCACCAGTGCAATGAGTGCTTTGTACGTAGGTATCGGCGAAGATCCAGTAGGCAAGCCAAGGACAAACGGCTTTTCCGACGTAGCCTCGAAGTCATTAATCCTACCAAAAGGTTTCGGTATAAGCTTGTTGGTTGCGGGCCATGAGATATCAAGAACTAGATAGGCCACTCACCGTTTGCAAATGTAGTTAGCGATATAGTCCCCAACAGAATGTGGGTCTTCACGAATAATTAGACCTATAACGAGACGTCATTGTACAATAGATGCTTATAGTTGAACAAGGCACCTACGCATTATCTATGAACAAGAATGTAGACTGTTCGTTAAAAAAGGTGTTGGGGGCTGGTAGGTGGGTATTGGTCGACCCATGGGTGCTTTACTTATGATAAAAGCAGGCCTAGCGCTTCCAGCACACCGACACAGATGGGAAAAACATATTCTCTTGCACAACAGGCTTGGTCCGGGTGACAAAAGCAAGCACAATGTGCTCTTAACCCGAGGGAGGGAATTGTGAATGGCTAGGACAGCATCTGATCAAAAGCGCCATAAGCTCAACATGGCTTCGGAGCAACGTGCATCCCTTATCCGCGCACCCAGCATATCGCGAACTGCTTTTCTTAGACCATCGATATCGGCGTGTCTCTGCTTGACATATGGCAGAAACTGATTAATAAGGCTTATATTAACACCGTTGTTCTCCACGTCGACAATATGGCGCAGCACTTCCGGCTACAGAGGGAAAACACAAGATAGTAAGTCGACGCACCGCACACAACTGCTGCCCATTAGGTTCCGATCAATAAACTAAAATATTAAAGAGGCTTCGCAAAAATGATGATAAAGTGTTTAGGAAAGAGAACAAGGCCAGGGCTACCCTATAGCTTCACGATTCGACAAGGAATGAAACGAAATGATCAGGGACAACAGTAAGTTGCTCTGATGAATAATGAAAATGCGACTAAGAATTGTGACAAGTCCCAATCAACTTATCAATTTCATAAGTGCATTGAAAAAAGCCACCTCCACTCCATCTTTCCCATAACTCGACCAGGGGTGTCTGATGCAATCTTTATAGCGCGAGCGAAAAGGGTTGAACTCACTTTGAATATGTGAGTGTTCGCACTTGGTACATCTGGGAACGGTGAGAGGCAGAAAAGTGATATTGAAATGTGGCAGAAGTTGTGGCAGGAGGCGGTCATGCATGTAGACTGCGCGCGAGGACAACAGTGAGTGAGAAGCGGATCTCAGAACAACCATACCTTGAGCGTTATAGTAGAAGTCCCATGGACTCATCACAACACCATCACTAGCATACCAAAAACCTTGGAGGGATGGGACGACTCCTTTTGGTATACGCATATGAGTGCATACTGGTTGAAGGTACCATGACCCATGCCAAACAAGAAGCCCTTCCTGTATTTCCTTGTCTTCCAAGATCACACGAAGAGAGCGAACAAGGGAGGGAATAAACAAGTCCAGGGTCGCCCACAATGCAGCATTGACAAGTCGATTGTTTAAGGTGTTGTCCAGAGAACCAGTGTCCAGATGCGCTACACGATTTTCGTTCCAAAGAGATGCAAGGAAGCTCCAGTTTCCTTGTGGATTTCTGTTGTCGTAAGTCCAGGCTGGCGCGGGAAGAGGCCCCCGATTCATGACAACAACATCAGCTTTGCGCGCTCGTCTCAACCAGTAAGTATTATGCATTCGCACGCCGGTATCGGAATCTACAGTCGGCCGTGTATATGCACCGTCGTCTCGATTTTGAGAGGAGTGAAGAGTCGTTGACAGTGCGTATTGGAGAACCGATGAATTCGTCGATAACATTGATCGGCGGTTTGGAATTTTCTTCTTCCGCCCGACAAACAAATCAAGCTCATCTTCAGCGTTAGTCGCTGGTGGACGACAGATATGATGAAAGGAACAGTACTCTTCTCCCAGGCAGACATGTGAGCGATTTTCATGATTTTCGAGAGAGCTCAACCAGAGGGAATGCAGATAGTACGTGGTTTCTGGGCCTACAAACAGGATCCTTTTCCCACCGACCAGAGGGCAGATAGACACCGAAGGGTTTTTGGTACGAGGTTCGGCAGGATGAAAGCAGGTTTGACTGGGCTTGAAATGCAGTGGAGTTTGCGAACCTGAGATTACGCGAACCTCTGAGTTTTCCCAGGTTCCTTCGTGCACAGAACAAGACAGGGATGACTGCAATGTGGCGATCCTTCCAAGGTCTATTCTAGGTGATTTCCTGCGATAAAGATCAGGAGAGGTCACCAAATTCGATGCGGCCTCGTCGATGACTCTGTCCACGACTTCTTGAATTCGGCCTGATTGACTTAGCTTACCGACCTGCTCTGAATGCCACGAGAGATTGGTATACAATAGAAGTGCAAGAAGGACTGAAAAACCAGCTATGCGAGATACAAGGAGTCGAGTTGGGTGAGCCATGTGGAGTAACTGTGGAGGACCGGACCAAAATAGGATATCGCACACTTTGTGACACTGGCTCGATTGTACAACTTACTCTATAACTTTTCGCTCATTTATATAATCATACCCTCAAGCCATGCCCCGAGTCCCCCTCCTCGGAAGACTCTCATTTCGAGATTATGCAGCGGTCATTTTCGGTTTCGGTTTCCTTGCCGTCGAATCCTTCCTCCATGTTATAATCCTCTTTCTGCCAAAACCAGTCATTAACTGGTTCTACCGTCGCTCCCGAGCTCTATTTCATCATATCAGTGGACAGCCAAAAGATCGCTCTGAGGAGAAGAAGGCCTCAGACCGTATTCTGAATGCCCGGGATTTCGGTGAACTGTGTAGCATCTACGGTTACACTCACGAAGAGCATGTCGTGCTCACCAAGGACGGATACTTGCTTGGTCTGCATCGGTTGCCATCCAAGAAAGGACAGAAAAAGAGGAATCCTGGAAGCAGCACTGGAAAACCTGTCGTGTATCTCCATCATGGGCTCCTCATGAATAGCGAGGTCTGGGTTTGTTTGACCGATGCAGCTCGCTCCTTGCCATTCGTTCTTGTCGAACAGGGTTATGACGTATGGCTCGGCAATAATAGGTCAGATCCCTGTTGGGTTTCTCGATGGACTATAACTGACTGTTTTTTTAGAGGTAACAAATATTCCAAGAAGTCGATACACCATGGACCAAATTCTACCAAATTTTGGGACTTCAGGTGTGTTTACTTCGTTGTTCAGGTCGGTTCACACTCACATTGTGTATCTAGTATGGATGACTTTGCATGGCATGACATTCCAGATTCCATAGAACATATTCTCGAAGTCACCAAGTCCCAAAAGCTTAGTTATGTAGGTTTCAGCCAGGGGACTGCGCAAGCGTTTGCTGCCTTGAGCATCCATCCACGTCTCAACGACAAAGTTAATGTATTTATCGCACTGGCGCCTGCCATGAGTCCACCTGGATTGTCTGCCCCCATTGTTGACGGGCTCATGAAAGCATCGTGAGTGACTAATCATACATAGAGTAACAAAGCTCACATTTCTGTATGCTAGGCCAACCCTTCTATTCCTATTCTTCGGTCGCAAGGCGATTTTATCCTCATCCGCAATGTGGCAATCCATACTATACCCTCCCATATTTGCCAAATTAATTGACAAATCTCTCGTCTGGCTATTCGATTGGCATAGCGATAATATCTCTACGAACCAAAAGATCGCAGCATATGCCCATCTTTACTCATTCGCCTCCGTTAAATCGGTGGTGCATTGGTTCCAGATCATGAGGAACGCCGCGTTCCAGATG